TGCACAGTGGGACTGGAGATGTGACAGCTGTGACATTTGTGACAGAAGGCTCTTGTTGACAGAAGAGCGGATCATTGCCCAGAGGGGTCTGTGAGATGGTTTTGTTTTGTTTTCTATTTTTTGGGGGGGGAGATGTTTACAAGCATGGAAGGTGGATACGGAAAGCCTGGGAAATGAGAGGGATTGGGGTGTATGATGTGAAGTTCCCAAAGAATCAATAAGAAAATGATATTGAATAAATAAATAAAAAGAAAATGAAAAGAGGACAACTATTGGCTCAGAAAAAAAGTGAACCATTGCAAAGATTCATATTTAAAGAATATTTTAGCATGGTTTTCAAAAATATGTTTCATCAACAAACAATATATTTGTTAATTTTAAACAGTTGTTGTTGTCAAAAGAAGCTTAGCCCATGGACGCACCCTCCCCTTTTAGAAATCACATGGTGTTTCCAGTGGGAGCTGCTGAAGCTGCTGAAGGAATGGTGTTATGTATATATGAGACTGGGACAATGAGCATGTTTGTTAGATGGTGAGGATAACCTTGTACAATCCCTGCTAAGCCCCCAGAACAGTGCCTGGCAGCGGTTATATAACATGAGCTAAGATCATCATCATCTTCGACATTGGAGGGAAGCAGCTCAGAACTGCTTTTTTTCATTAACCTTTGTGTAAGAGCATCTTTCCTAAGAACGGTGGTAGCAGCTTTAGCTTGGGGAAGATGGTGCAATACTTTTATACCTTTGTTCTATTTTCTAACCTATTTTGGGTTTCTGCCATTTTGTAAATTAATTTGATGAACCATCTGACTCCTTACTTTAAAGAAGAAAGCCCTTTATGGGCCAGGGCTATGGCTCAGTGGTAGAGCACTTGTCTAGCCTGTGCACTGCCCTGAGTTCAAAACCCTATACCACCCAAATGAACAAATGGGAAGATTCTGGCACAGCAGTAACATTTCTAGAGCCTCCTGTGATCACTTCAAGATGCAGATCTCTTAGAGTCTTTCAGGATTTGATGTCAGGGATTAGAGATGATTGTGGAAAATCAAATTAAATCCACATCAGAGAGTGTATTTGTTATTCCTGGCCTGGTTACCATAGGCCTGTGTAACCCTAATGGGACAGCAAAGAATCTGTCACTAAACACAAGGCTGTTGGATGGGCAGAGTGACCCCTGGACCACACTACTTTGGATCTGCCCGGTACTATGAGATGTGTCATGTTGCCTGTGATGCAATCAATAGCTACTTACACTCGATTAGGTTTACATTTGCACAGCAATTTAAAGTAAGTGATGATACTACTTTATGAAAAACAATTGAATATTAGCTTCTTGCATGAGCCTAATAACCAGTCATTAGTAATTAGTTTTGCAGTGGTACACCAGAGTTGGGAGTCCAAGTATGGCATCACTGAACACCTTCCAGTTTTAATGCAAAACAAGTTTGGCAGTGAGATTAAAATACTGAAACCGGTGTTATTTTTAAGTCATGGGTGAGTATCTACTCCAGCCAGCCACTTGGGAGGAAAATATTATTTCCTCATCGAGAGTTAAATAATTTTGCTTATATTGAACACCTACAATGAGGTCTTGCCACAAGAGTTCAGCATTTGTTGAATGAGTGAATGACACATTGAACCAATCAACCCATGAGAAAGCTAATGGATTGGTAAATGAATGACAATCTGAGATCCAGACTAATACATTATGACCCCTGTGTAGACAGAAGAGAAATCATAATCTTTTTCTGCTAGGTGCAGTTTTCCAACAAAAATATATTTAATGGAAATTTAATAAAAAGTTACTAATGAGCTAAATTATATAAATTATGCAAGATTAAGCTCTATAACTGTAACTGTACAATCACACCATGAAACATATCTCACCTGCAAAAAGTTAAGATTTTTAAAGACAAAGATAAAACAAAATGAAGGCTGAAAAATAGTTAATACACATTTCCTGAGGAAAATTCTTGGCTTTCCTTTAGGTTACTGAGATTTTCTTACAGAAATGTGACTGTCTAAATTCCCAGCCCTCTCCCTTGGCCTCCATAGGCTTTGTTTGCCCTTTGGCTCAGACACTTAGCTAAATGAATGAGCATATGGTAGGATGGTAAGTCTTTTTAAAGCATTTGTATTTATTATTGTTGTGAGTGTAGATGCATGCATGCCATGGTGTGCGTGTGTGTGGAGGACAGCTTGGAGTCCCTTCTCACCACATGGGTTCTGGCAAGCACCTTTACCCATGGCACCATAGTGCTGGCCTGAAAAGCCTATGGTGGGAGGAACTTCATCTGTCTCCCTTAATGGAGAATATGGAAGACGTGATTCAGTTCTGACCATCCACCTTTTCATCTTAGATAGCATCTTTCCTCATACCATTACTAGTTAGAATTACAGTTTCCACCAGCCATTCACCATGTCCCAAAGGAATGTTTGTACACTTTAAATGTTAAACATTTCCAAAGCCCTTTTGTTGAGAGGTCTCGAGAAACCCCTTCCCCTGTACTCACGTTGACTAGAAGCTTTTGAGACCCACATGACTACAGTACTTGCTTTGGGTGCCAAGTCGGCCAGCAGGAGCAGGCCTGTCCATAGACCAGTGGCCCAGGCTGCCCTGTAGGAAACTGGAAATGACTCCCCAATGTGAAAATTGTATCAAAATGCCTGGAAATTTAGAGGATCCAATTTCTATTTTTTTTTTTTTTAAGCAGAAAGTATATTCTGACCAAATTCAATTTAAGAATACATGGGAGAAAACAAAATCCCTAACAAAAGTCACAATGAACTCCGTGGAATCCTAGAGGGGAGTTCTGGTGTGGCTCACTGCCACGCGCAGTGGGAGCTGGGGACCAGCTGGTAAGCCATCAGGGCAGCAGAAAGCATTGTTATGGAAGGTGCCCCCACGCCAGACATGAAGGGAAGAGGTCTCACCAAAAGCTGGTATATTGCCTGGCATTCAAATGGGAAATGAAGCAAATGACTGATTTTTTTTTTCCTCACTGGAAAAGAAGTGAGAAACATACAGGTGAGTTCAACATCACAGTCAGGAAGCTCCAAATATTTGCCCCTTTGTGAAACACACCTGTCATTTTTCTCAAAGGTGCTGTGTTATAGGATGCTCATTCTTTTTTACCTTTGCCAGTGACACACACTGGCAAACACCTCCCTCACTTACAGGAGGAAATTGGGAAACCAGAAGGCATTCCCACACACCAGAGAGAACGAACACTCGACTAGGGCAGCAACGGGTGAATGACTTGGGCTGGGCAACAGCATTAACTAAGTTTATCTTTGTGGCCACAGGCCTAGCCATTTTATAACTAGAAACACGATAAACTTATCTTATTCCATTCTATCTTATTGAATTCTAAATGAAGCAGGTGATATTGAAAGAGAAGAAAGTGGGCCAGGGAGATGACTCAGCAGCTAAGGGCACTAGCTGCTCGTGTAGAGAATCTGAGTTCAATTCCCAGCACCCACATGGTGGGTCACAACTCCAGTTCCTGGGAACCACATGATCTCTTCTGTCTTCTGCAGGCACTGCACACACATAGCACACAGATATTACATGCAGGTAAATACACATAAAATAAAAAGTAAATGTTTTTACAGAGAGAGAGAGAAAGAGAGGAGATCTTTTTTGGAGGACCAAATATACCATGTATAGCAAACTGAGCCATATGATTCCTTTCTAAAATAGGTCTCTCTCTCTCTCTCTCTCTCTCTCTCTCTCTCTCTCTCTCTCTGTGTGTGTGTGTGTGTGTGTGTGTGTGTGTGTGTGTGTGTGTGTGTATGCTTTCCAGAAGACAAAGAGTAAGTTCCAAAAGTATCCAAAAGATACTCCTTCTGGTGTGTTAACCACCAGAAATCTGCCACAGAATTAGTAGGAAGCACTCACTTGGGCTGTTTATGAAAACAGGCTGTGGAGGCAGACCCAGACTCTGAGTTTCCACTGGGAGCTAATGGACCAGAAGCCACACACACACACCATCATATGTTCTTGATGCCGGGTTGGTACATAGACCTTGATCCAATTACATTGAGAACTATCACTGAACCACCACAAGGTACTGAAAGTCACGCTAGTCCAAGCACTCAGAGAGCAAGCAGCTCAAGTGTGTACACAATTCCTTTTCTTTTGATGAATCAATCTCGAGACAGGAAATGACAATCTCTATTGATAACACCAGTTAGTCCTGGAGATCTGGCCCATCCCACCCTTTGTTATGCTTCCTTCTCACAATGTTTCCCTGTCTGACTTATTTTCTTCCCTATTTCAGAGACCATGACTTTGCCACACTCAGCAGGGAGTGAAGGAGCCTCCAATGGCTTCCCTGTGTGCGAAAGATGCCATTGGCTGAGCTGAATCAATGGGGCTGGACCCAACACACATCCAACGCGTAACAACAAAATCACTTGAAGACTAACACCTTATTGTCAGCCTCAGACCAAAGAACTTTATTTCTGTTTTCATTTTCTTAAGCTAAAATGTTATGGAAAACATTTTCTCAACTAGCCGCTCCAAAACAATATATTGTGTTATGAAGCTCCATACACTTTAAACGGTTTTGAAATCCGGACAGGACAAAGCAAGCCCTCCGCTTCCATCCTTTGAATCTGCATCTGAAACCCTTGTCTTCCTTTTCCAGCATCAGTTCCAGGCTGTTGGGTGGAACGAGAGTCACTGAAAGTGCATGAGAGGTGAATCTATGGAAAGGGGCTGCGTCTGGCGCTGCAGGTGGCTCTGCCTTTGCCTGGTTCTTGCTTCTGCTTCAGCCATCCTTGCTGGGGTAACCAACATGGGTGGGCCAGGCCTCAACAGAAGGAGGAAGGCCATCCAACGGGTCCCCTTCAAACATGCTACCACAAGGAAAAAAAAAAAAAAAGGTGCGACGATAACCAAGTCCCTGTGCCTTCTTACAACTGTGGGCAGAGAAATCCTCCCCCCTTTGGTATTAAATAACAGTTTTTTTTTTTTTTTTTTAAAAAAAAAAAAAAAAGCTTTTTAGAAATAAAGCAAACACATGATTGGACTGGAAAGGCTAGCCATCCCAGGTGAGTTGTCCATGGAAATCAGTCTCAACCCTAGTCATAAATAAATAATCTCTTTCCTGGTCTGACTTCCATGCCAGGATCAATATCTCTTAACATCTTACTTATTTTATTACTGCTTTTGGTTTTCTGGGACTGATTGAAAGTTGCTCAGAGGAAATCTTTGGTTTTGCTTAAGTGTCCGTGACATTTAATCATGACTTTCCTTGCAGTTTAATTCCAGCCAGTCAATCAGTTAATCCACTTCGATTGATTCTGGGCTCTCAGTTATTGGCTTGCACTCATTGGGCATCCGCTGGTGTCGACTCAGCTGTGTGGCCTGTGTGAAGCTCCTCTCACACCTCTCGCACCTGGGGGAGGCAAGAGAGAAAATTGAGACCAGGGAGCGGGGCCTTCGGGGTGATGGGCCGCCTCTCATCCTGACTAATCAGAACGGACACTCCAAAGTGGCTTCAGATTTTACTGGCTCAAGAGGTTTAATTGGTGGCTCCTTCCAAGGCCGGGATGCCTGGGATGGGACAAAGCCTGTCTGATGCAGAACAGAGGGACCTGTCAATAGGCAGGGGGAAGGTGATTTCTCCAGAGAGTCCTGTCCTGCTGCAGCTCTGATCACTGTCAGTTCAAATAGATAAAGAACAAAAAGAGATTTTTAGGAGTGAGCCATCAAAGCGGCAGCTTGTCTGCAGTTTTCTGCTCTGTAACCCCAAAGAGAAATTGATGACAAATAGAATTTCACCTGCCACTAATTTAAAACCTGGACTTCTACTCCCCTCCGAAAGCTTAGCCAGAGAGCAGATCATCTCCAAATTTGGAAACGCATGGAAGCAATGCCTTAGTTTTCAGCGACTGTGCGGGTGGGAGTTGGGGTGGGGGAGGGGGGAGGACATGAAGGTGGGGGGGCAGGAATGGGAGCAAATTTAGGGTTAAAATAATTTCTAAAATTAGTGTTTGCCATGGTGGGAATGGGATGACTCAGAAAATCTGGGAACCGGAGAGCTGGGGTGGTTTAAGAGACTCAACTATAGAGAGAGTACAGCATACAACATACGTGGATGCCGGGGTATCTGAGAGAAGGAAACAGGCATTACACTTCAAGTATCTCTCCTTTTCTTAAAAGGCTGTAAACCAGAGAACCTGGGCCAGTCCCTATCTCCCACAGAACCCACACATGGGCTTTATGCACACACTACACACCTGGTGGCAGCAACCTGGGCTACCTCAAGCGTGATCAGACTGGGCAGTCACAATGGCCGTCCCTTTGCTATCATCTCCTCAAAATTTTGAAGGAAAAGACATTCAAGAGGAGCTACAGTGACCTTCTGAAATCACTGGCTCTCAGAACCCTACACTGTTGGAGCAGTAATACAAGCAATCCGGAGAGAAACCTACTGTCCTGCCACAGATGAGGAAGCCACACACCCTGTCGTCTGGTGAGCGTTTTTCTTGCCCTCCTCTTCAGTAAACTATGTACAGAAATAGCTAGAGAAATAGAGTACAGCCACCCAGTTTGGAGATTCTCAAGTGCCTGGGAGTGCTGGCAAGCTGGAGTTTGGCTACATGGTTTAAAGCAATGGTTCTCAACCTTCCTAATGCTGCTGCGACCCTTTTAACAAAATTCTTCATGTTGTGCTGACCCCAGCCATAAAATTATTGTCACTGCTACTTGATAACTGGAATTTTACTTGTGTTCTGAACCATAATGGGAATGTTTTTGGAGACAGAGGATTGCCAAAAGGGCTGCGACCCGCGGGTTGAGAACCCCTGCTTTAAAGTTTCCAGGCTCCAATGCCAACTGAGTGTGTCAGGGTGAAGAAGTTGTGTTTCTTTGATTGTCTTTCAGGGAATATTTTTAGCAGCCTGCTCGACTGTTAAAAACTGCACGGTGATCTTGACAAATGTATAATGTCAGCTTTAATGTATCAGACCTATCAGCTCAATGAAAATAACTCAGAAGTATTGATCACCTAATGATTTTTGGTGTATTCATTAATGTCTACGAGCAGCTCATCCCCTTTCCAGAGCTACTGGAGTGCTGATGACACGTAGCAAACTGCTGATTGTTTATTAGAAAACTGATTAGTTACTGGATTAGTGTGTTAAAATATACTACCTTTCACTACTTGACAAACTTTCAAATTATTATATTTCTTTTTTTAATTTTGAAGCTGTAGGATCAATTTCAAGGAGAGAAAAAAAAAATAGGGTTGAACAATTGAGGGGAATGACAATTTACCTGGCTGTGCCATCGCCCTTCTCATCCTGTATATTAAAATGTGAAGAGTTCACATGCAGGAAGCCTGCGGCTTTATATAAGGATGAAGTCTGTATCTCTATGTGACACTCAGATGTCCATGCTGGATGACTTCAGCAAGAGGAGGGTCACATTCTTTTCAGGTGTTTGCTTAAACATCACATTGAGATTTACATACAAAATGCAATCTACTATAATCATCAGAAAATTCTCCCCAGCTATGACAAAAAAAAAAAGACCACCCCTGCAAAGACCATGTCTAGTCTTGTCTTCTCATCAAATAGAAGGAAAATAGCATGCCAATGTGGAGAAATTACTTAAATTTAGATTCTGTTTCCAGGAATTTTCTCTTGAGAAACATGGATTATTAGACACGGGAATGATAAGGATTTGTATATCTGAGGAAGTAAAGATGAAGATACACGAATAGCTTTTTAAAAAAACAAGACTAGGGTTTTGGTTTTATATCTGCCATCTTAAACTCTAGATGAGAAAGCTCTACAAATTATTTCTATAGCATTATGGCACTCATCAGAAAGACCTGCTCCATTGTTATAGAACTCATCCAAAAAAAAAAAAAAAACCTACGCCATCATCATGGAACTCATCAAAAAACAAAACAAAAACAAAAATCTCCACCATCATGGAACAAATCAGAAAGACCTGTTCCATCATCATGGGACTCATCAGAAAGACCTGCTCCATCATCTACCTTGGTTCTGGGAGGTCAGAACAGGGCTTCAGCTGAGCTGGCATTTAACCCTGAATTGCAATCTTGTGCCTTCCCTTGTCATGGGCATAGATGCCATGGCCTTGAAGGGAACATCACAGACACATGTATGTAGAAAGTCTTCCAAACACTTCAGCAAACAGAAAATCCAAACTTTCTACAGGTCTGAGAGTCTGAATTAGCCTTGATTTCCCCCTTTCAATTTGACATCCTTCTCTTGTAACTGTAGTGACTAATTGGATGGTATGAACTGAAATGTCACAAAATAATGTAAAGTTCTACTACACAGAAAACCTGCAAGAATCTTCCTGTGCATCTTCCATTTGTTGTGAAATACTTGAACTGGATCAAACTGCCTAGGGCTTCATACATGGCAAATGCTTGAAATGTCTTTTCAGATTTGCTTTGAGATTTATCTATGTCTTGCTTAAATATTGGACGTACTTGGGAATTTTTCTTTTGTTTCTTTATTCTGAGCCAAACTCCATTTGCCAAAGGCAAAAACATTATAGTGAATATTTTCACTGGCTTCTAAAAAATGGTGGAGGTGATCTCATAGGGCAAGTCCTGGCCTATACATCAGCTTCCTACGTCGAAAAAGCCCCTACCCTAAACCTCATGAGATCCCATTTACACAAGACAAGGAGAAATGAGTCCTCATTTCCAGCCCTCTGACGTCTCTACCAACCACCCTTCCTGCAGTACAGTGCCTAGCCTTTGCTATTAAGTGACATGATCTCTCACATAAGCTCCTTGTTGAGCATGACTTCAGTCTCATATAGCAAGCTAAAAGTCAAAGCCTTTGGTGCAGTCCATTTTTGTTTGTTTTCTTGTGGGTTGTTTTACCTTAGAAATCCCACGTCTTCAGCCTCCATTAACTGTTGACAGGCTCGGGGACTACCTAGAACTTAGGACATAAGTTCTTGCAGGGAGGTTCCAGATGATCAAATGTGAGGCAAAGCCTACCAGAATTCTAGCTACACAACATCACTGCTCCTCTAGCCACCTTGGAAGGCCAGCAATCTCCTTGTCCTTCAGCTAAGTTCTGAGCAGCAGAGGTAAGGATGATGAAAGGGCTTTCCCTGACACAACAGGCTCGGTCTCTGCTCACCCTGGAGATTTTGAGAAGACCTCCTGGGTCAAGGGGACACTTTGTGGATGGAGCCTCTTGGGTCCTTTACTTGTAAGTTGTATTGGGCATTCAGTTTAGGTTTATGCATCTTTACAAGATTCGTTTCAGCCTCTGCAACATTGTTTAAGCCAATGCCCATTAGTTGAAGTAGTAAAATTAACTGTGGTGGTGAAACCATTTTTATTGACTAATCTGCAACAAAAAGTTTTTTTAATGTTTGTTTTATAAGCTTGTAAAAGGATATCTTCATAATATTTACAAATGTCCATGGGTTGGATATCCATGGGCTGGGTTAGAAGAGCCTCAAACTCTCTTGCAATAGTACAATTCTGAAAGACCTTGTATACACTAAAGGATTTAGCTTTCCATTTCCTAGAAGATGTTTAAATCATGAAGTTTCAAAATAAGCATACACTCAATTCTCCTCTGGGCATATATACTCTATCATTTTAAATGCCCCAAATATTATAACATTATGGCTATTTTGCTAAAAGCAAGAAGAAAACAGACTAAAACATCCAGATAATGTTATCAAGCAACCTGGCTACTTTATGATCTTTTGTTCAGTTGTTTTTTCCAGATGAAAGCAGGCACAAACAAAAGAAAAATACTACTGGAAAGGAGGGAAAACACAATCACTAAAGCACTTCAAATATTAATCTGATGAATTAAAATTAAGTTAAGATGGCAACTCTATTGGAAACATGACAAAAACAGGATGTTAAAGAAAAAAATTGAGTGGAATCAACGAGGTTACACATAAGTAACACCTTAACATTAATAGAAATCTATTTCCCATCCTGACCCTGAAACCACTTCAATTAATTACTAAAATCTATTTACACTGCAACAAGATAAAAATCAATCTGATTGCTGGCACTGAATCCATTTGGCTGCCCTCTCTAATATAAGGGACCAATGGGATCCTCAGTCCTCCCAAACTCTCAAAGAGGCATAGATACCTTCTATTTGTCAAGACAGATTCTGTGAGGCCCTGGGAATCAGGCTTGAGTGTGATGACACCATCCATCAGGCAGGTCACAAACACCTAAGACAGGGGACTTTTAAGATAGGAAGAAGTCGACTGGCCCCTCAAAAAAGTGGCCTCTTCAGATTATTACAGCCTTCTGGAATAGAGCTTGGTTGGTATATCATAAGTTTGATTTTACATACCATCCTGTTCCACTTAGCCCAAAGAATGTAATTAACAAGTACACAGACCAAAATCATCACTGTTTTTATTATTAATATAACCAATTAAACCATTGAGGAACATAGATAACAATGATGGAGTGGCTGGAAAGATAGCTTAGCAGGTAAAGCTGCTTGCCACCAAGCCTGACAACATGAGTTTGAGCCCAGGACACACATGGTGGAGGGAGGGAACCAATTTGTTTGTACAAGTTGTCTTCTGATCTCTACATATATGTCATGATACATACATAACCCCCACACTAATAATTAATCAATTAATTAATAATTTTTAAAAGAATGGTAGGTAGAGGTAAAATATGACAGCTTTTATGAGCCCATCCATTTGTTGACAGGCCAGTGAAGTGAGCAGGACCCAGAGCAACAGGATACTGTTATCATTAGCTGTACCCGGCCTTAGGATGAGCATGGAATGAGAAATTATTTGGCTGAGTCTGACTTTAGTCGCCTACTGACAATCACCTCCTGTCCTGCTTGAGCTTCTCCTACAGAAGGTGAATAAGGTTGGTCATTTGCATGTTTTACTTTTCTTTCACAAATAATGAAAGCTAGCACAGCAAATGAGTAGAAAGACGTCAAGGCATTGAGGCAAAAGAGTTCATGAACTCAACTCTTCTGAGACCACCAGCCTGATGTGGGCAGGTTCCAAGTGGCTCCCTGCCATTTGAAATACTGAAAACAGCCTCTTCCTTGTATGTATGTCTGGCCAACTCCTGTTGATTCTTTCATATATATGTTAGACATTGTATCCCACACAGATCTGATGGTTGATGGTTCCATTTCTCTGATATTCCTCAACATTGTATGTGTATATCCTTTTCTCTCTTTTTTATTTTTATTTATTTTTTATTTTTTGGTTTTTTGTTTGTTTGTTTTTTAAGACAGGGTTTCTCTGTAGAAGCTGTCCTGGAAATAGTTCTGTAGATCAGGCTGGCCTCAATCTCACAGAGATCTGCCTGCCTCTGCCTCCTGAGTGCTGGGATTAAAGGTGTGAGCCACTAACGCCTGGCTATATATCCTGTTATGTTTTTCATACTTTGTTATAAGATTGATTGATTGGTTGATTGGATTCCTCTTACCAGTGTGAGGGCTTCAAAGTCCAGATGAAAAGGGCCTGAGTCTTGACCATTGTAAAAGCAGCCACTTATTCTTATTGAATGAACATATGGATGGTTGGATGGATGGATGGATGGATGAGACATTTTGTATAGTTCAAATATTAGCTGCTTTGATGGATGGACTATATATTGAGACACAATCTTGCTCAAATGCCTTATCCACATTTTCTGCACACTGAAAAAGTCAATATGCCCCTTCTTTTTGCTTTAATTTTCATTAACTTGATGAAATGAGAAGAAACAGTCACTTGAATCCAGCAGGCTTCATATTCAACAAGAAGATTATTCAAGCATCCTAAACTCTTACCACCTTTCTCATGCTTATGGGAGCTTGCTGATAGCCATGAGATCTCAGCATGGATCCTAAATAAAATTCAGCTGTATAGATCTACAGGAATTGGAAAGACTACTATTGTTATTTACTCATACCTCCTTATTTTACTGAGAAAACAGGCCTCAAAAGACCATCTCATGTCTGAGATTGCAAACCTTGAGCCAGGACCAATATGTAGCTTTCCTGCCTCCATTTTCCATACGTCACCCGTGAAACCAAAAAGAGCCTCTTACAGCATAGATACCAATCTTGTAAGTAGCCTTTTCCACCAGCGGGGCTGAGCTTGTCTGAGCCAGGCAATGTGTGCCAGCTCCCAAGAAAGATAAGAAAAAGAGGGTGGACAGTTGGCCACTACTTACTTGAAGGGCTTTTCTCCAGTGTGCGTCCGGATGTGGTTGTTGAGAGTGGTGGCCCCAGCAAATGCACGACCACAGTAGCCACACTTGAAAGGCCGGTCACTGGAGTGAGTGACTACATGGTTCCTCAGTTCTGATGGCTGGGAAAAGGACTGGGAGCAGTGGCCACACTGGTAGGGTCTGAAACAAATAGAGAATGACTGGTCATAGTGTCCTTTATTGATCCCCACTGTGATCAACACTTTTGAAAGACTGAGTTTAGAGTGCTGGCCTCTGAGTTCTACCACTTGGTGCCCCAGGAACAAAATTCACAGAGCTGAGGAGACACATCAACTCACAAACGAGCATCCTCTTTCATTATTAGTGATGGGGATGTCTTTGGGAACTGGCGGCTGTAGGACAAAGTGGGACAGAAACTTCCATCTATGTATCAATAACACTATTTCAAAAACAACCATTTGTTTGTCTTGATCTCCCCACCAGCAAATACTGGCATATTTCTATAAGCTTTACAGACACAAGCATGGGATTAATTAAGCCAAACAGTACAAAAGATAACACATAATTGTCTTTTATGGTTCCATAGTAGCCTTTACTTTTCAAAGTACGTTAAAATCAATTATCTAGTTTAATCTTTACAGTAATCCTCTGAGTAGGACAGGGAAAGCAGTTGCTATTATCACAGTTTTGGCACAGACAATTGAAGACAAACTGTCCTTAGAGGATATAAGACGTTGATACCAAGGTCATTATAGTCATTATAGGGTGTTTGAACATTATTCCAAGTGTCAGGGAAATGTGGGCAAGTAGCCAAGTTGCATGCACACTTTAATAAATACTAAACTGCCTTGGGTTCCCAAGATGAACCCAGACCTGCCAGATGTGTCTCTTTGAAAAAGAAATCCCAACTTCTCACCTATCCCATTTATCCTGTTCATTTTTTTTTAAATGTGTATGTTGAGTGTCTGCATGTATGCAACCACACATGGATCTGGTACTCATGGAGTCCAGAAGAGAGTGGATCTCCTAGAAGTGGAATTACAGATGAATTGAGCTGCCATGTGGGTTCTGAGAACTGGACCTAGGTCCTCTGCAAGAGCAACAAGTGCTCTTAATCACTGCACCATCTCTCCAGACCCATGAATCTTGTTCCTGATTCTTATCTCCTCTGCTGGATCTAGTTCCAAGGTCTGCTTTATGGTAGGAAGAAATGACAAATGTCGCTGTGTTTGCAGAGAGGTGAATGTGATGCAAAAGCCAATGGGAGGAAGTTGGGACAAATACCTGATAACTAGCAAAATTATCAGAGCACACTCTTCCCAGCTCATGAGAAGTAAATCAATTTCAGGATTTCATAAACTAGATTAAAATTCCATCAGAAGTTTTTCTACCTACTTAAGCAGAATGCAGTGAGTGACAGGAAACCTGAGGAGTTGTCCCTATCAAAGCTACTTCAACTCATCTCTTGACAGGGCTCTAATTTGCTTATCAAAATTTTTTTCAGGAAATTAATAATCTGTCTTGAAGGATCCTCACTGCACTCACTAAGTAAGCCCTGGTTTACAGCACAGACATTGTAGGCTGCATTTAGGAAGCCAATGGCAAAGGCAGACTTAATTGCTCTGCCATTAACAAATACAGAAGCTCCAATGACCAGACACCAAACTGAAGCGTTGGGAGACAATGGTGACCAAGCATGTACAACAATTCAATTAAGTGCAAAATAAAGTGTACCCTCTCATTTGTCAACTGAAGTGCTTAATTGCAGCTACTTGCCTCACTGAACACAAATACTATTATTTTGCCAGGCTTCAGCACACTGAGCACTGATTGTAGAATTTTTTAGCTTGATTAATAGTCCAGCATTGGTCAATAACTCAATACTATACAATTTTAATTACTTACATTTAGAAATCTATCTAACTGCTCTCAAACAGGTTTCAAAGAAATACATAAGAGCCCTTGGAAAGGAGTTTATCAAGCTTGACAAATTACACATGCATTTTATTATAATTATAAAATAATGCTTGGAAGACCATTAGAATTGCTTACAGAGGAAAATATCCTCCTGGAAAATCTATTCTTGGCAGTAAATGTGGACCTTAAAAAGAGTTCTCAAAAAATAGTTCTCTGGGGATGAAATTTTTTACATGCTATTGAGGATCATAAACAAAATAATATATTAATATATGCTATATTCACTGACAATTGATTTTTCTAATAGTGAAGGGACCATTAACATTTATTAGCCTCTGGTTATCTATTTTTAATAGCTATCACTAAAAACAATAAACCACTAAATAAAACCAATTAATCTTTTCCCTTTTTTTCTAACCCTTCTGTCAAAAGTTGGAGTGATTTATTTCTTGCAGTCAGAAGTCAACTCGTCCTTTTTATGCCAACAGTCACTGTGGCAAAGATTCACAGAGCACACGTGAAAGACTGATGTTGAATTCAGTCATCAAGGGAAAGGGGTTAAACCTCAGAGCATCATTTCTGCCAGAGAGTACTTGCTAGGGATCCAGAAGCCTGTGTGAACTGTCTTTAAAAGTTATCATTTAAGGTGTGTGTGTGTGTGTGTGTGTGTGTGTGTGTGTGTGTGTGTGTAAATGAGTATGGATGAGTACCTGAGCTATTTTCCCCGGCACTATGTCTCAATTTTAAAAAACTATGTAGAACATAGTTTGGCCAAATAGAAGTGCCTGGAATAGGAACATTGAATTCAACTTCAGCCTCTTACTGTAGTCAGTTATGGGATACTGGCAAGGTACTCAGTTTCACTGACTTCCCTCTTCACATCCACTTGGAAAGGAAATGAAATATAGGCACAAATCTTTAATTAATTTCACAATGCAAAATTATATCCTTTTATTTTTAGGCACTGTTCAGTGATTTCAGAACACTGACTGACATTCATCTTGGCAGACCCTAATTCTATTAATATGAGGATTTGGGTCTTCAGCCAGTTCTTGAACCTGTAACAATCTCTTACCATCTAGAAATGTAGAGAAAGTATAAGTTATAAGTATAAAAGTTGTGCCTGGGCTACAAAGCACAGCCTTGTCTCAAATCAAAACAAACAACACCAAAGAAGCCAGGAGTGATGGCACACACCTTCACTTGAGAGACAGAAGCAGGCAGATCTCTGTGAGGTCCAGGCCAATCTGTTCTACATAGTGAGTTTCAAGATACCTAATAAAAAAGCCCACAGAAGGTATGCAGTTAGTAGATGATGCTCCTTCAAACTTTATGTTCTTCTGTTTTCAGTGTTCCCAATAAAAAATGAGTTAAAGAGGCCAGACCTCTAAATGATGCCACCTGTCAGACTGATACAGAAGGGTTGTAAGTTCAAGATCAGAGAAAGTTCAAGACCAGTCTGGTCAACTTAGTGAGACACTGTTTAAAACAAAACAAAACAAAAATAAACCTGACCGAATGTCAGTAGGGCCCTTGTTCTAGCCCCAATACTCCTGGAGAAGGAGGAAAGTGATCAAAACATAATTCTAACATTGATTGTAGTTAAGACTTAAATACAGATATAGGAATATGTTAAAAACAGATCATTTCTAGGGCATCCTAGAAAGTAACACAGGAAAAAGAATTACAATTCCTTTTGGGTCAACTAGCGCCAGGAGTTTAGACTATGGGAGCATATTTCTAAAGCCATATTTCAAGCTGCCCCAGAGGAACTTCAGAACATAGAGTAAGTTGTCATTACCAACATTTGTCTTAAATTTTTGGAATGGGGTGGTATGTGTGTGTGTGTGCGTGCCTGAAGTCAGCCACGGGTGTTATTCTTTCCATCTTTTCTTTCTTGAGGCGCTCATCACTGGTACCCAGGACTCACTGCAGCTTCCGTATTTGTCTCCTTAGCATTGAGACAATCATGTGTGCCACTATGCCCAGGTTTTTATGTGGGAGCTGATGATGGAATCCAGGTCCTCATGCTTGCATGGCAAGCACTTTACTACCCAAACTCCAGCACCTCCAGTAATTTTCCAAAGTCTGACAATGTTAAAGGTATCAAACTTTTAGATAGGCTCCATCTTAACTCTAAAATTGCATCTCTGTTTGATGTATTGTACCAGAAGAGCACATATGGACAGACATCCGTGGGTGTTGTGCTCCAAGGGGTCCAGGATCTTACATCATGGCATTTGGGAAGCATATTTCAAAAGCACTTGGTCCTCCCAACTCATCATGCATGTATAGCTTCCCATCATTTTCAAAGCAAACCCAGAGGAATAGCATCTCACAGTGCACAGCTCTGTGGGCCTGGGTGGCTGGGTGGGATCTAAATCAAGGAGGTCAAGAGTGGAGATTGTCTAAAGCTGCATGACCTGATACAGGGCCTCTAGCTACAAGGAGCAGCTGAGCATTTGAACAGTGACTCATGCAACTGAAAAACTGAAGTATTATTTTGATTAATTACCATTAACAGAGATTGAAATAGCTCTGTGTGGCTGGTACAAGCTCTGTGAAAAACTAGAAAGTGCTTCATACACATTTACAAAATAACTGAGAAGGACAAGGTGTGGGTGGATTTACTTAGCATAAATCAACACTGGTAGATTTTTAAGCAGATAGAAAACAGTGAGACCATTGGGTTCACCTCCTGACATTCTTTGTCACTGGTAACTCCTCTGCCAAAAGTTACACCAGTAAAATGTGCAATTCATTTGCCTTGAGTCTGTAGTTGGTTTGGTGAACATAAGAAAGGATGAAACATTTAACAAAATTAAGTGTGGTTTGGTTTTAGATTATTAATCCTCCTTTGATTTTTCTTTTATAGCATGGAAAACTTCTAGGATAAAAGTTGTTCTGTTGGCTCTCCCTATATGTGGGTCTCTAATCAACAGAGTCAACCAATTAGAAGCATAAAAACTACTCCAAAAAAGTAACATGCCTGCATGGAATATGTGTAGACTTTTTTTGACAGTAGTCCTAAACAATAGAGAATAAAAACTATTTATATAGTATTTACAGCTGTTTGAGATATTATTATGAGTGATTTAAAGATAATTTAAAATATACAGGAGCACCCTTATGGGCCATCTGCAAATTCCACACCTTAATGTAAGGAACTTGAGTGGGTACAAACCGACAAAGACAAATAGCCAGCTATGAAGCTAATCACCAAAGAATATATGCATATTTAACAGCAGTGTGCCTCTACACACATAACAGGTAAGTTTCTAAATTTAGCCACCATCATGAACAAATGTTGTGTTCATATCACATTTATGGAGTTTTGCTTGTGTGGTCAGGAATGTTGAAGAGTATCTCCCTGTCTCCAATGTCCTATAGGATAAAAATTCATCTAGAATGAAATTAATAGATAAGATGACTAGGGGGTCTCCCTTTTTTTTTTCATCATGTTCAAAAATCATCTCAGATTGATGATGTAATTCAACCCGCTCCCTGTTGCTACTAAGAAACACTGCACCATATTACACTGCCTTAAAAGAGTCTGGCTTTCTTCGAGTCATGATTCATAACTTTAAGTTTTTAATGAATGATGTCAGCTACCTCTCATGTCTTCACCAACAAAGCACAGGGAAGGATCAAGAACCCAATTCCTAAATAATATGGTCACTCTGATCATGCACCTATTACTTCACCTCATCTGAAAAGATTTTCTCCACCACTTCTGGGTTCTGAGTAAGGATCTAGCATAGAAAGAGGATCATACCACCTGGGATCTCCCAGTCACGCTAAATTTGCTTACAGTCATTCCTGACCTTAACAATCCCTGATGGAGGCATTTTGTGCATGTAAGCTAACTGTGTAGATGGATTTCATAGCTGTATTAAATTATAGTGCTAGCATTTTATAGGACAACCTTTAGAGAGACTTAAACCATACACACAACTTTCTGGGTATAAGTTGGGTCACACAAAACAGGTTGTTGTTAGTGTTTATTTACCATAAAATATCTTCATCACTTTTGTGACATTGTATGTGAAATCATATCACACCCAAAGATCAAGAAACTTTGACCTGTCTTTAACCTTACTGTTCATGATTAGTTACTATGACCACAATAGTCCTTTGGAAATAATGCACCCATACACCTGAACTCACTTATATAAAATAAGAAGATTTTAAATGCATCTTTGGTCTTGAAATGATACATATTGGGGCTCTATGTATGCCTGTGAACTTTTAAGAGAAGCTTTTCTACATGGGAGAAGGAGAAAACACATTCTAACTTTTATATTTCGCCTCCACAGCCCAAGTGTGTTGCTGAACACCTAAACACAGATGCCTTAGCCTGAAAGTAAATGTTTCCTTGTTGATTAATTCAGTAATGCTTGAAGCTAAGGCACCAGTTTCTAGAACAGCATGAATAAAAATGTGTACCAATGTAAAGGTGTACAAATATCCTGAAACTAAGATTAGAAAATACCCACTCCTTCTATCACACTTCCACAGCCTTGTCCTTCCCTCGGATCTCCTAGGCATGCTGCTCTATGCTGCAAGACCAAGACGGGAGAGCTGAGTGTATGTACTATGAGGCAAAGAGTTGTCTGTCTTGCTTTGTTAAGGTTAATAAGTGGCAAGATTAAGAAAACAATTCAGGAACCCTCCAGATGGCCAATCTTCACCCTCAAAATTATTTTTTTACTTTTATATTCAAGGTGAATGTTTTCTCTAGCCTATCCTTGGGTATTTTGGTTTTAATCAAGTTCTCATAGAACGTGGAGAGATAAAACATAGGCAGCCTTCTTATTGAATTAATTTGATCTTTGTCTTTTGCGCTCCCAGCTATCAAGACTGTCAAATAAACCAGTTTTGATTCATAAATAATAGTTCCATTATATCTACTGGGCCACTCGTCAGAGTACCTGAAATTTTAATTCACTTGTTCAGCTAAATTTCATCCTCAGTTCATGGCCATAAAATTCCGTATTGACAAACTTTCAAACCAACTTTGACTCTGAGGTATCTAGTCAACATTTTTCTTCTGTGTGGATATTAGTTTATTGAATAAGTGGCGTCTGTTTTCCTCCACATCACTAGCCGAGTGGGTATTTCCTTTTGACAGGTTTGCAGGATTTATGGGTTTGCATGTTCTGAAGAAAAATAGTACTAAGCAAAAAATTCCAATTCATTACCTCTTAGTACTTAATTAAGTTCATACTCACAGCACACTGGAGGTGAACCCTGCAATGGCTGTGACAGCCTTCCGGGGCCTGCTATATTATCTTCGGAAGACAAAGGGGATTCTGATTATCCTGACCTCATTCTCCACCCCTGATATTCATAAATGTTCCTTCTCTTTTGCTCTCTTTTAAGCCTGGATGTAACTGGACAGCGAGCGCAGATGCCTTTTAGCCAACACCAACCTGTCTGTGCAGCCTTCACAAATAATGGAGGCATAGCTTGAGACTTAACACAACCCTGGGACCTTCCATTCCAGCCTGAGGGCAGGCACCTCGAAGCAGCGGCTTTCCCCAAGATGCTGCAGGAAGGCAAGCCCCAGGCCTCACCTGTCTGGGTTCTGTGTGCACACGTGCATCTGCAGAAGGATGCGCTGTGTGAAAGTCTTAAAGCACTGGCCGCACTTCCAAAGGTGCCAGTCGCTGAACTCTGAGTGCAGCTGGCTGGTGGAGGTTGGGCTCGCCAGCACCCGCTGATTCTTCACGTTGATTTGGTTAAATCCTGCCTCAATGGGCCCAGATTTATCCAAGAGGGTGAAATTCCTGCTGCAGGGAGTCTGTGGGAAAACCACGGAGCGCTGCTGGCCAGAGGGAGAAAGCTTGCTGCTTTTGTTGAAGGGCTGTAGGGCATCTTGTCGGCACATGGCTTCCATTACCGTGGAAGGGACATTCACTAGAACAGACAGAGTTCGAGGAGGTCAGTTTCACCAGACCTTCAATAATCCACAATAACACATATTTTAAAACATCCCTATTAAACAAACATACGAAATTTTGTTTTTATGGTCCCCCAAAATAAGATCATTTGAAGGGGAAATCAGGCTTATCAACAATTAATAATTCTCATTAGTATAGTGGTAAGTATCCCCGCCTGTCAAAAAATTAATAACTCATCCAACACCAGTTTATTAAGCAACTAGTGCTGTTCCTTTATGGCCTTTGCCTTCAACTTTCACACAATTATGACTTGAGCTGTCTGAGACTCCACACTGCAGCCTGCTTAGACACCTTTAGATGTGAGAGACAGAAGGTGAGCTGGTGGTACCCAAAAATGGTGAATTCCACTGCCTTAGGTAGTAAATGCCAAGGCCTCCCAACAGGCCTTTCCAGAACAAGACAGGTGTTAGCCATGGAGATGACTGAAGAGCTAAGAAGAGGAGAGCTACCTGGAGACAGGAGAAGCCTGGCAGGTTAGGGGATAGCAAGAGAGACAGGCTGGCCCAGCAGGTGTGGGATTCTGGCCACTGTGAGAAGGGAGAGAAATGACTACTCAGAGTGCCTTAAATAAACTTTTAAAATTACTTAAGGCCCAGGTAATAGACACGGGCTGCTTTTGAACAGAGCAGGATAAATCTGCTCAGATTTCAGGAAGACCTTGAGAGAGGCGTGACTGACAGATGGATAGAGCAAGTGGGAGGTGGCAACTATGGTGCTTGAAGATGGAGCTTTGAAATCAGAAAGGCCTAGGTTCCTGTCTTGACTCTGGCTTTCATTAAAGATGATGATCTGAGGCAACTTAGTCAACCCTTTGTACCCTCTTTCTCTGTAGGAAAAATTAGGACAGCGGTAGTAATACTTCTAAAAATAATAGGCACCTGTCTTGGTGATTGAGATAGCCTAGATTCTAACTCCGCTATTTGCTAGCATGGTGACTATGGAGAAGGTTGCAACACCCAAACCCATGATGTAGTTAGTCCTTGGGAAAACATGGCATGGTCATCTGAAGACTGAGTGAGGTAATGCATCTGTGGCTGTTAGGGAAAGAGGCCAACACCCAATAGCAGTGGAGCTCTAGGGGGTTGGGAGTCTCATCTTTCAGTCTCCTTTAAGAAAACTAAGGTGTGATATCAAAGAGTTCACAGCGGGGCCTGATGTCATTGTTGGAAGAGACAAGATTGGAATAAGGGAGATAGTTCTTGCTAGGTGGTAAAGTGGAAGAGAAGGAAGACATATAAAAAAGTTTCTTATGGGAGAAATCAAAATCCTTGAAGTTTATTGTTCTTTTTAATTTTTATTTTATTTTATTTTTGACAGGGTATCATTCAGTAGCTTCTGATGGCCTTGAACTCACAGTGATCTGCCTGACTTGGCCTCTCCGGTACTAGGATTTCAGGTGTAAACCACCACTCCTGGTTTCTTTTTTCAATACCTTACTGTGTTAACAATATTTATTCAGTATTAACTGGACATTCCATGGGTCTAAAAGCAATTAGAATCTGTGCAAAAGGCCTACTATGTACACAAATATATCATTATTGTTCATTTTAGGAGTCAAAGAGATTAATAACTATACAGTAGTCAGGAGATTAAGGTGAGTGGTAGTATATGCCCTTTGATCCCAGCACTGGGGCAGGGTGGGGTGGGGGTGGGATCACTGTGAGTTCTTGACCAGCCTGATCTACATAACAAGTTCCAGGCCAACCAGGGAAACACAGTGGGAGACATTGTCCAAAAATATGCAAAATTTTGCAGAAGATGGTTGGCATGCTACAGTTAGTGATATGGCTGTTGATTGTTGGCTCAGAACTATGGTGGGAAACAAACTGGGAGCTCTCCTGTCCTTACCACAGCCGTGGCTAAGCTTCCTTCACAAGGTGAGCATTCTCAACTCTAAAAGAAGCCATAGAGGTGGGGAACCAGGAAGCTCTGGAAAGAGACAGGTGGATTGCACATGTAGGTGCCGGGGTGCTGGTGTGTTACCTTCTGCAGAATCACATGACCAGCTAATCTAACCTCAGACAGGGAACAGTCCTGTCTACTGCAACTGAAGCAGAGCTCATCTCATCTCAGACAAAGTGCTCCAAGTCCTGGAAAGACACTTCAGCATCACTTGCTGGCTACTCAGCAGCCATGTTACAGAGGATTTTTAAAAATCAAATGAGTCTCTTAGAAGGGCCTGAAGCAAAGTCAGGGTTGAGAACGCACTGACCTGAGCTGATACCCCCTCATTACAGGTAGCAAAACAGTAGCCCAACAAGACCCAGCTGTTTGCTTGACATGACATTATCAGTTAAGGACAGACCTAAGCTATACGCTATAGCTTTCTGAGTTCTAGCAAATTTCATTTTTGATTCATATGTATAACTTCTCTGCTTACTAGATGTGTTTCAAATAGAGAAAGGCCACTTTATGGGCAGTTTCATATGTGTGCCTCATACATGTTACATATATATGTATGCCTCTATTCAAATAATGTATCATCTATATTACATATATAAAAGTCATGTATCATTTGACCTCCTGAGGCAAAAATCAATATGGAGTTTATAGACAATTTTAGACTTAAAAAATAACACCTTTCTTTGTGTTACTTCTTAAGCAGACTCTAAAAGATAAGGAGAAGGGCTTTGCCATCTTTAATAAGAAGCAAAAACAGCACATACAGAGATTGGGATGGAGCCCATTTGTTTGGAATTTTCATCACTAATCCAGGGAGGGCAGAGCACAGAGAAACCAGGAGTCTTCAGACAACAGTGAACTCTTGCCAGCCAGGATACTCAGAAGGAAAGCAAAGAGGGAGGAGGATCGAATGCAGAGGCTTAAACACCCAGAAAAGCAGTGAACCTGGCCAAAGCTTTTCAATGCTTTACACCCTAAGGCCACACAATCTTTTTTTGTTTTGTTTTGTTTTTTAAGACAGGGTTTCTCTGTGAAGCTTTCAAGCCTGTCCTGGTACTTGCTCTGTAGATCAGGCTGGCCTGAAACATACAGAGAAGATCCACCTGCCTCTGCCTCCCAAGCACTGGGATTAAAGGTGTGAGCTACCACTGCCCAGCTAAGGCCACACAATCTTTATATAAAAAGAAACAGAGTCACAGGCCAATGACTTTTTATAAGCTAATGACCAATATCAAGGGGGAAAAATCAAATTTATATATCTAAAAATTTGCATAATAATTAGAGATATATGTATATGGGTGAATATAATAAAAATGAAGATGACTGGAATAAGATTATTCTCCATTTATTACTTTATTTTTTGAGATATCACAACACAAATCTAAAACACTTCCCAGCTGTAGGTAACAACACACTCCCTATTCTGCCCTAAGTGTGGTCCTCCATTGTGTTTATAAGGTAATTCAGTCTGAGCAAATGATTTACGAGAGAGAGGGGAGAATGAAAATTTTTCACAAATGCAATTGTTTGAAGTCTAGCTGTTCTGCGGAGTCCTACATAGTTGGTTGAGAGCTTGCCTAGCATAAACAAATCCTTAGGTTCAATCCCCAACATCCCCATAAAACTAGGTTTGTTGAATATACCAATAAACCCAGCATTGGGAAGTGAATGCAGGAGATTCAGAAGTTCAAGGTCATCCCCAGCTACATAGCAAGTTTGGACAACTGAAAAAAACATTGGTCATTATGTGAGCTGAAGACTACATGAGTCGCATAGCAATCCATATTAAAGGCTTCTTTTTTAACAGAAGAGTCTTTGTAAGTCTAAAAGAGTTTGGAACCAGAGCTCGAGGGGACCAGATGTTTGCTTTCAGGGTATCATCAATCCACATTGACCACTGGGCATCATATGCTGCTAGTACATTTGCAAAAGGCAGTTAGGATGCCAAACACGATGGTGCACACTTATAATGTTAGTCACTTGGTTAGCTGAGGCAAGATCAGTAACTTAAGGCCAACAAAGGCTTTCTTGAAAAAGTAGAACCATAGGGGAGAAGGCTGAGTGGGGGACAGACAAAAACCAGAGAAAGAGAGAATGCACTTAGATGCTTAAAGAGACAAAAACATATTTCTGGAAGAAAGGCTAAGAATTTGTCAACATCCTTCATTATCTCTTGGCTAGAGATTTGTATGCCTATAATACTTTGTGGACTTTGATCCATGAGCCCAAACTATCTGTTGATAAAACAAGAGGATAAACTGGGCTAAAATAAGCAAATAAGCGAGGTTTCACTCTGGCTGTGATATGACACTTAAAGAGGGTGCTTCATGATGGAGCCTTGAGTGGACTGTGTAACCCTGATCATAACAGTGGCGACAGAGATGAGAACATATGAGGAACATACACAACGGGGCCTGGAGATAGGCTATGAGGGTGATGTGTCAAGGTTTCTAGAAAGCACAATTGGATGGCTGGAAGGGAGCACTATTCAACTGGGGAGGGGGAAGAGACAGACTGTGAGAATGAACATAATGGCTTTAGTTACAACACACTGAGGGGGAGATTCCTGTGCAGGATGAAAGGGACACATGTAGAGGAGATCATTGCACTGTTGAGGTTAGGAGTCACCAAAGTCTAGGTTGAAAATAGAGACCCCCCCCATGAAGGAAAATACAGACCCAAGAGTACCTGAGAAACTGACTCTGGAAGAGATTCTGGACATCTGTGTGGAGACCTCTTAGCCTTTAGGCTGAGATCATGTGTGGAGTTGTGTGGGGGAAGAGGGTAACTGGGGACTCTTTGGAGGATCAACATGTATTAGAGAGTGGGCAAAGTAGGAGAGGAGAAATTAAAGATGGATGAGTTCTGGGGCTGGAGTATCTTCAGAGTTATCCTCTCTGGGGAAACCACCAGTCCTTTATGCCTCCATACTGGCCAGTTGTTACATGTGGACCACAATCCAGTTCAGAGTGTGCTATGGTCAAGGGTGCTGATGTAGGTGCTGAAGACAAGACCATCTGAGAGATGGCCCCAAACCCCTGGGTCCCAGAACTA